ATTTTGATCAGCTTTACACTGACAGACTCTGGGTTCGTTATGAGGATATCAACACAAGATTGAATAAGGCAGCAGTGATAATAAAAGTCCCCCATCTCGCAGGATGGTTAGTCATACAGGGCCATATGTTTAGTAGCCTGCACTGGCAAATTTTGGGTACACTGTGAGGATATCTTCAAGAATACGAGAGTGAATAAAGTAATTGCAAAGCTCCAGGTACCTCATGCCAACTGGTCTGAAAGGTCTAATAACTGGGCATTCGGTGATGTAGTGTGGGAGATCATGCCGTAGTTCCTGCTGGCAGAGTTTGCACCTGGAGTTTTTTTATTATTATTTTCTACCACATACGTGGCCACACATTTACAATGCTAAGCAGCATATATACATTTTCTTCTGTCCTCCATGGACAGGGTGAGAGATTTGTCAAACATACAGTTCAGGGATTTATTGACCAATCAACCACAGAAGGTGATTATAGTGCTTTTAAAATGCTAGGCTAAGCTACATACGTAAATACATATACACAGATTTATGTATGCTACATAAAGTGCTCGATGTGTCTTTTACATAATGTCATTAATGTGCATTTACAAAGGCGAAACCTAACTCTGATCAGCTTCCACATATATTTTATAACAAACACACATACACATATGCATACATATACGTACATACATATACGTACATACATATATACACACATACATTTCTCTTTTACTCTGACAGGGTGAGATAGTTGACAGAAACTAGTGTACAATTAACTTAACCACTGAAGGTGATTAAGATGTTTTTACAAGCTCAGGTTATATAGTTACATCACATACATTGTATAATTGATACATTACATGGTCAATCTAGGGTACAAGTCCAATATATTATCAAGTGTTAGTGCTCAGGATTGGGAGACCCGTCACCTGTAGCCACCTGCCACAGGTAACGGTAACCCAACCTGATCCTGGCAACCACTGTGTCGCACAGTCTGGTAGACGTTTTGTGCTGCCCATAGATATAAGTTTCAGATCTGAATAAATCATAGCTTTTTATACTAGTGCTTTCAGGTCGTTGGGAGTCGGTAATTTCTTTCCTATTAGACCTGAGGGTTTGATTGATTAAGCTTTCCGTTACATTATATATTATATTTTAAATTTTAGCTAAAACTAACATAGGTTGGCTAGATTTAATCAGATTTCTAACAGAAATAATTCATGTTCTTAATATAATAATATTGGAATAAACCAATTCGGAAAGAAATATACGAACATAAAAAAGATCACTGCTGTGTTAGGCAAATCGGGTCTTGCATTATAAGCCAAGTAGTGCGGCTCTGGTTATATGAGAACGACATACATACGTGTGTCTCTGAGCCTATTGGCACGAACTTCTAGGTTCTTGTCTTTAGTTTTCTGGGTCTTCCTAAAGGTGGCCGCCCCGCCTCCCTCAGCTGTACTGTGAGGTAGATGGGTATCAGCCGGTGTAGACGTCTGTGACTGAACAACTCCACAAGGGCCGTGACGAGGATTCGAACACAGATCAGAGATCATCCCAAACGCTGCCTTAATCGACTGAGCTACGACATTGTCAACGGCCTATTGACATAGCTCGAGTGCATGGGGGAGTAGTGTAAAACCCTGGTTTGTGTCTTGGAGAGGCTGCAGGATCCAAGAAAGTTAGGTACAACTTCTGGTTTCAACTCTTTTTGACCATGTCGTAGCTCAGTCGATTAAGGCAGCGTCTGGGATGATCTCGGACGTAGGTTCGAATCCTCGTCACGGCCCTTGTGGCTTTGTTCATTTGACGCATGACGCTATTGTGATTTCTGTGTGTCTGTGACTCATTTGTCTCGAGTTTCTATCTAAGGAAATTTTCATGTGGGACTGAATCGAATCCTTTACAATCTTAAATGTTAAAATATCCCCATTTCTCCTGTCCTCCAGTGTGGTAAGGTTCTGGGCCTTAGAACCGACCCTTGTGGTATTTTAATTGTAACCTCTCTCCACTATGATGTGTCTGCTCTCACTGTAACCCTTTGTTTCCTTCCTGAGAGATACTCTCTGACCCGCCCTAGGACTCTTCACGATACACCAACCCGCTTCCCTAAATTAAATAAGTCTTTCATGTGGGACCGTATCGAATGACTTCTGAAAGTCGAGGAATATGCAGTCTGTCCATCCTCTCTTGTTTGATTTCTGTCAACTTGTTGTAGAGCTCCAGTAATTGGTTAAGCACGATTTTCCTTTACTAAAACCGTTCAAGGAAACGGTAAACCGGAACACTTTGACGGTAAAACCGTCAAAATGTTCAGTGAGGATCTACAAGGTCTTCTCTGAGTACTCGTTATTTTCTTCTCGGAGGCTATGGGTCCCTACACTTGCACCAGAGGTGGTACCACCAATATATATATTATATAATATATATATATATTATATATATATATATATATATATATTATATAATATATATATATATATATTATATAATATATATATATATATATTATATAATATATATATATTATATATATATATATATATATATTATATATGTATTATATAATATATATAATATATATATATATATATATATATATATATATATATATATATATATATATATATATATATATATATTATATATAATATATAAAATCTCGGATATATATTTATATATAATCTATGTCTCGATCCGTCCTCCTAAAATGATACTTGGTGTAACTGGTCGAAAGTACCCATATTTAGTGGTGGACCATCAGTAAACCACTTTGTTCTGTTATTTTTAAAGAGTCCGGAAAAAAAATATTCCTAGGTCTAGTATAGCACATATTTGTACTATATTAAGCCTAGGATTGCTATAAAAGGTTAGGTTAGATCTTACATTTATGTTGAGGCTAAAAAAGTTTCCGGCTTGTCTATCGTTGACAAAGTTGATAGTCAACTTTCTGGTGGTGTTGACCAGACCACACACTAGAAGGTGAAGGGACGACGACGTTTCGGTCCGTCCTGGACCATTCTCAAGTCGATTGTGGAGCGCTCTTGAGAATGGTCCAGGACGGACCGAAACGTCGTCGTCCCTTCACCTTCTAGTGTGTGGTCTGGTCAATATACTTCAGCCACGTTATTGTGACTCATCGCCTGCTTTCTGGTGGTCTGTCTCTGCACATTCGTACTTTCGACCAAATAGTTACTGTAGGTACTTTCATTTTAGGAGGCTGGGCTGGATATATGAATGAGACTGGATATAAATAAACGTGGCATCGTATAGGCCAATAGGCCTTCTGCAGGGTCATTAATTCTTATGTTCTTGTATGCTCACCCACAGATTAGAGATTGGTAAAGAGATGAGGCTAAGGTAGCCGAGCGGACAGCACGCTGGACTTGTGATCCTGTGGTCCTGGGTTCGATCCCAGGCGCCGGCGAGAAACAATGGGCAGAGTGTCTTTCACCCTATGTCCCTGTTACCTAGCAGTAAAATAGGTACCTGGGTGTTAGTCAGGTGTCACGGGCTGCTTCCTGGGGGTGGAGGCCTGGTCGAGGACCGGGGCCACGGGGACACTAAAAAAAAGCCCCGAAATCATCTCAAGATAACCTCAAGAAGGTCCCTTGGATGTCTGTGTGTGAACGTTTGTGATGGACACCTGTCTTAACGTCTGCTTTGAAGGTGGGTATAGTGGTACAAGTGTCTTTAGAGGTGCACCCACACGCATGGGTGTCGCGGGTACACCCTTATATAATATTAAGACATCGCTTCCATATATAACTTATAATTAGTATATGGGCATGAGACGCATTACGGCCCACGGGACGGATATGGGGTTGGAGCAGCCGCGTCCAACAGCCTGGTTGACCAGTCCAGCAACCAGGAGGCCTGGGCCCAGATTCACGAAGCAGTTACGGAAGCACTTACGAACCTGTACATCTTTTCACAATCTTCGGCGGCTTTGTTTACAATTATTAAACAGTCAGTGAGCTCCGAAGCACCAGGAGGCTGTTTATAACAATAACAGTTGATTAGGAAGTTTTCATGCTTGTAAACTGTTTAATAAATGTAACCAAAGCCGTCAAAGATTGAGAAAAGATGTACACATTCGTAAGTACTTGCGTAACTGCTTCGTGAATCTGGCCCCTGGTCGAGGACCGGGCCGGGGGGAACGCTAAGCCCTGAAATCATCGCAAGGTCGCAAGAGGTACATAGTAAATGAACAAAGTGAATTCTGAACGTATTACAAACACCAGTAACTCAGATCAAGGCGAGGAGCATGCACGCACACCGCACCCCGGCGTCTGGCAGGCATAAGTAAGGACCTGTAACAGGGGCCTCGGCGCCGCCGCCATGAAATAAATTATTCTCATCTGCTCTTGAGGCCATGTTGTGATTGCTTAGCTGAACGTTTACTGGAGTCCGGCTCCTGAGCCCATTATGTGCCTCTTTGTTGTTTTAGAGTCGGCTACTCTGAATAAAAAGTTGCAAGAAGCGAACCCGTAGTGGACTTACCTGGCACAGGGGCGGGGCTGTAACTGAACCAAATGTATGTGCATCTGTAACCTTTTCACCACCACTGGCATGGTCCGAATGGGGTGCTTAAACTAATTCAAATTTTTAAGGCCGAATGACTGGCTTGTGAAGGGTGTTGAGAGCACTGTGTATTTGAGCATCATGATATGTCGCAGAGCTTGAATTGACCGGTGTCTGGCGTAGCACATAACGACCCAACTAGCCTCGGTGCATCGTTATGGTCTTCGTTACTGTATAGAAACGGCATCATAGCTGAAGCCGGGCCTCCACTCTGTCTATACCTCCGTAACATTTCTTCGTCTTTCTAACAAGCGATGAACTCGTACGAAATGCAGGAAGCATTCGCAGAAAACTTGCCGCAAGTTTGGTTGTGAGTTGTTGTTGTTATAGATTCAGCCACTCGGAACAAGTTCCAAGCAGCACGGGCTATGGTGAGCCCGTAGTGGACTTACCTGGCACAAGAGCGGTGCTGTCTCTCGTGGGTTGAGAGTGTTGGGAGGGCGGCGAGAGGAATGACGTGTGGAGCAGCAGGAGCAGCGTGGTGGCTGCGAGGGGAGTCAGCGAGGAGGGTGAACAGGTTGTAGAGTCAGTCGCATGTGTGGCGGTGTCGGGGCGGGGTGTACACGCCCTCCTCCTCCCTTCTCTCTCACTCGCTCCTCTTACGAAAGGCGTTAACCCACGTTAGAGACAAATCTAAATATTTTTATCGAGGAGTCAAACAGGTCTTTTTTGTGTTAAAACATGAGAGGAAATATACAAAAAATGAGATAGTGATATGAAAGGTTTTACTTAGTTCAGTTTTGTGTTGGTCGCAGATAACGGATGTGTTATAATGCGAGAATAATGGTGGAAATGTAAAGGAAAAAATTATATACAATTTTGTAGTGGTGCTGTGAAGTGAAGTGCAACTGTGGTCATGGCTCTAGTCACAATGGTAGTATCGGCGCTGATCCTGACACAGCCGGGGGTCACAGTGGCGACGGAATCATATGGCAATGCCTTCCCAGAGAACAGCACGGGAGCCCCAGAGAACACCACGGGAGCCCCAGAGAACAGCACAGGAGCCCTAGAGAACAGCACAGGAGGCCCACACAACCAGACGAACAGTTTGGACGCGGAGCTGCCGGAGCTGGACATGTTCTACACCATCAGCGAGATCTTGGTGGCCATCATTGCCGTCATCGGCAACGCTCTCACCATCACCGTCTTCGCAGTAGACCGGAAACTACGCCGCCTCACAAACTACTACATTGTGTCCCTGGCGCTGGCTGACCTTTTGGTGGGGGTATTGGGTATTCCCTTCGCCATTCTGACGGCGATAGGGCTGCCGCAGCCGCGGTGGGCTTGTCTGCTGATGCTGTCGACGCTGCTGATGCTGTGCACCATCTCCATCTTCTGCCTGGTGGCCGTTAGTGTGGACCGCTACTGGGCCATCCTTCACCCGCTCCGCTACTCCAGGGTCATGACCGCCAAGATTGCCAGACGTGAGTACACCCGTGGGGGAGGAGGGGGGGGGGGGAAGCAGTAGTACCATCAACAGTAAGCAACAATAACAGCAGTAGTAACAGTGTTATCAGCAACAGCAGTGGCACCAGTAGTCTCAACAACAGCAGGAGGCGCAGGAGCAACAGCAGCAGGAATAGGTGCAATAGCAGCAGCAGTGGGTGCAACAGCAGGTCACTGGGGTCCAGCGCTCGTCAGCAGTAAAACTGACGCTTCAGTGAAAAATCTCACAGCTGAGGCACTTTACCAAGTAACTGGGTAAACGCCATTGAGTGTCCTTCTCAATGTTACACAGAGCGCTTCCTGGAGGTTTGGAAACTCTTGACTTATGCATATATATACATACACACACATTCTCCTGTTTAGATAGTAGTTTTTGTAACTACGTGCACCATAGTACAAAGATTGCCGTTCAATTAGATAGAACCTTTGTACCATTCACTTTATAGTCGGGAAAAAAGGAATCTAAAAAACACTCACAGAATCGGCAAATATTCCTAGGCTTAGTATAGCCTAGGTCAACCTAGGAACCTTTGTACCATTCACTTTATAGTCGGAAAAATGAATCTAAAAAACTCACAGAATCAGCAAATATTCCTAGGCTTAGTATAGCCTAGGTCAACCTAGGAACCTTTGTACCATTCACTTTATAGTCGGGAAAAAATGACTATATGCGTCAGCAAATATTCCTAGGCCTAGTATAGCACACACGTGTACGATATTAGGCTTTAATTCGGAAAATTAACTTTAAATCTTCGTTCAATATTTTAAAGATAAAACATATCTGTAGAAATATTTTATCTGTAAAAATATACAAAACTGTACCTAATTGAGCGATGTAATGTCTCGCCTGCGTGCGCCTGCACAAGGCAAAGTTGTAGAATGGTGAGGCAATTTTCAACGCAAACGTCGTAGAGTAGAGTAGATCTCGTAGACGTACAGAAATGTATCTTTTTTTTTTTTAGCCTACTGCGTACGTTTACGTTCTTCCGTTTAAGATCTTCACAAACCATCGCATCCAGATATCTTTCAGAAACAAATATATCAATGTCCACATTACTGAGCTAATGTCTAGTCACATTCTTTAATTAAAAATATCTACATTATACTGAATTTGAGCAGATTTGACATTTCTTGAGATCTTGTGGTTCCTAAGTCTCCCTCTATAATGCGCATCATTTTTGTATTGTCTGCAAATTTACTTGTCCCACAAGTTTCTCAAATATCAAGAATGTTAATATATAAAAGTATTAATAAATTACGATGAATTTTAGTAATCATGCATAATATGAATACTCAAATTCATAAAGTGTTGAGGAATAAGCGTGAGAAGGTGTGGTGAAAGTGATGTGAGAGCGCAGGCGTGGGTGGCGACAGCAGTGGAAGATGATAAAAGCTTTTAGACATATTAATTTCCCGGAAGCGAGGTCAGTCAGTGGTCAAGGTTACGACTGGGATGAGCTGCCATGCACGCACAAGCCTAACATGCCCGGCAAAGCCCCCTCCCTCCTACCCACCCCACAACACTCCCCCCACTCACCCTTACCATTGCTATGGAATGGCGCTGAAGGACGATGCTCATTTGTCTACGACGTTCTCTGGGAGAAGTGATTTCATTCACGCTCATCGACTATAGTTTAAATTTGCCGAGGATGATTCTGACCCACCGTGTGTGTGTGTGTTACCTAGGTTGACCCACCATGTGTGTGTCACCTAGGTTGACCCACCATGTGTGTGTCACCTAGGTTGACCCACCATGTGTGTGTCACCTAGGATGACCCACCATGTGTGTGTCACCTAGGATGACCCACCATGTGTGTGTCACCTAGGATGACCCACCATGTGTGTGTCACCTAGGATGACCCACCATGTGTGTGTCGCCTAGGATGACCCACCATGTGTGTGTCACCTAGGATGACCCACCATGTGTCACCCAGGACTTAATCATAATGGGTACATTGTTCTACAGGTGGTGGTCATAAAGTGATCACCACGCCTGGGAAGCGTTTGGCGAATAAGTAACGAATATTTAACCTTTCCTCTCAAACAGTACATCGCATTTTGACCTACAAATCCCCAATGGCCAAAATATAATGTACTATAAATCACGGGCGGCTCTCAAAATTGACGTGATATCCCGTTTTCTGTTCGTGGGTCCTTTGCTTAGATTCGGGGAATTCAATACATCTTTTTTGTGACGTTGTGGCAACTCGAGAGGACGGACTGAATATTTAATTAAAAGTAAAAAACTCTACTAGACGCGCGCTAATGTGTAAAAGTGATTACAATCTTGAGATACGAACAATTTGCTTCAAACGAGGCGTTGGAAGTTAATAAGAGCCCCTCTCTCTCACCTTACGCTGTGCAAGTCTCGAGTGGTGCTTCCTGTCCGCTTGAATGAAGTACTGACATGAACATCCCCTTCCTGTACGCACACTAGGACGGTTATTGACTACATACCATCCTCCCTCCCTCCCAACACCTGCAACAAGCCAACACCTGTGTTGGCTTGTTTGAATAAGGTAGTGACCTTCCCCTTGTCGTGTGTTTGTATGTTTGAAAATAAATCTGCTTGGCTCTCCCTCTGACAAATGAGACGCGGAAGGGGTAGCTAGGTGACCACGCCCACCTCCTGGGGGATAGGGTGGGGGGGATTGGGGTAAAGGGGGGGGGGGAACGTCGCGTGAGACACGTTCTACCCCCTCCCCCCCTTTTGTTACTCTACCTCCCCTTTTGTTTATCGAACCACTCATCTGCTGACCCACTGGTTATGTATATAGAGTAAGTTTGATTGAAAACCCCCTGCTCACCATTATATTATTTTCAATTACGGGCTCACCATAGCCCGTGCTACTTGGAACTTTTTGTTCCAGGTAGCGAAACTTTAACAACAACATGCTCACCATTTTTTTTTTTTAGAAAACCCGCAGGTGTCCATGTAGAATAAGGCAAACCAAATCCCATTGCTGTTAAGACAGGCAAAATAGACCAAAACAAACCCCACACACACACACACACACACACACACACACACACACACACACACACACACACACACACACACACACACACACACACACACCGCTGGTAGACTTACAATGAACTCCAGAATCCCACAACTGGCCTATTTATATACTAGTTTACGTATTGACGAATGGTGGTGTTAGTGTATTTGTGGAGCAAGTGTGTTTATGGGTACGAGGGTAAGTATTTATGGTGCGTCTGTGGGTGTTTAGCCTATCGTGTCCGGTTTAGCCTCTTTGGTGACCGTACTGTAGAACATTTACATAAGAACAAAGGTAACTGCAGAAGGCCTATTGGCCCATACGAGGCAGCTCCTATTTATAACCACCCAATCCCACATATACATTTCAGGTCTTTGTTTTGTGGTTATATATCAGCTTGATTGTTCAGTTCAATCTCGGGAGACGTTCCTACGCTAGCCCGTTCTCATGATCTGACGGGTAAAATTGACAGCGTATATGCCTACCAGCCTGGGGCCAGATTCACGAAGCAGTTACGCAAGTACTTACGAACGTGTACATCTTTTCTCAATCTTTGACGGTTTTGGTTACATTTATTAAAAGTAGTTTACAAGCATGAAAACTTGCCAATCAACTATTTTTATTGTTATAAACAGCCTCCTGGTGCTTCGGAGCTCATTAACCGTTTAATAATTGTAAACAAAGCCGCCAAAGATTGAGAAAAGATGTACAGGTTCGTAAGTGCTTGCGTAACTGCTTCGTGAATCTGGACCCAGGGTAATAAATACCTCGACAGGAGATGCTCCAGGTCCACCAAACCGTCAATATTATAAGCATCGTTTTTAAACGAATTATCACTTGTTCGTGTGTATGGGTTAGGCTATTTGTAATCATCTGCGTTATTTGTGACTTATTCTCAGCAATGAGGTGCGTTATTTTTACGCAGTTGAGTTAACATTAGATTACCAACGTCAGATGGTAATTTTAAATTACCAAATTTAAATTAGGCGATTTTAAATTCAGTTTTTTAAATTACTGCAAGTCTATAGCTGCAGCTTAACTTGTATCCCACCTCGTTAGCCTTTAGGCCATAACAGTTGGATGGCGATGACGGAGAAGGGTGTAATCACCTCGTCTGAGTCTTGGGTTAACAAGTGAACCAACCATTCTGCGTCCAGGACAAATGTCCAATCGAGAGCCTATAGTTTATTCTCCATTTGTTTCTTTCGTAAATATTTGCCTTCCAATCTCTGCATTATTCCATAGTTACATTAAATTATTTAGTTTTGCTTATCCCTCGATCTTTAACCAACGCTTTTTTTTTTTTTTTTTTTTTTTTTTTTTTTTTTTTTTTTTTTTTTAGAACAATTCTTAAATATGAGATAGGATTAACAATTCCAATTTAAATACTCATTTAAAGTCGCACGTCTTATATAATTGATTAACCATACTTCCTCTGAATTAACATAAATTATCCTCATAAACTGATATATAGGCCTAGGGGGCAGATTCACGAAAGCACTTACGCAAGTACTTACGAACCTGTACATCTTTCCTGAATCTTTGGCGACTTTGTTTCCAATTATTAAACAGTTAATGAGCTCCGAAGCACCAGGAGGCTGTTTATAACAATAACAACAGTTGATTGACAAGTTTTCCTGCTTGTAAACTGTTTAATAAATGTAACCAAAGCCGTCAAAGATTGAGGAAAGATGTACACGTTCGTAAGTGCTTGCGTAAGTGCTTTCGTGAATCTGGCCCCTAGTCTCTAGGCACCAAATCTGACGACTGGCTGATACACACTGTAGCCTCATCCATCCTGTTGGCGTCAACTTGATTTTTTATTATTATTATTTTCTACCACAGACGTGGCCACACATTTACAATGCTAACCAGCATATATACATTTTCATCTGTCCTCCATGGACAGGGTGAGAGTTGTCAACTTGATTGAAAATACATACATTTGACTTTTGTTTACATACATAAAAATGCGT